AGCCTCCCAAAGGTGCGGGATTACAGGCTGAGCCACCGAGCCCGGCTTCTTTGTACTTTTAAACTATTTATTTGAGTCAGAGTCTCACTCTGTCGCCCAGGGTGGAATGCTATGGCATGCTCATGGTCACCTCAGCCTCAACCTGCTGGGCTCAGGTGATCCTTCTGCCTCAGCCTTCCAAGTAGCTGGAACTACAGGCATGTGCCACCACACCTGGCTAATTTTTCTTGATTTATTGTAGAGATGAGGTTTCACCAAGTTGGCCCAGGCTGGTCTTGAACCCGTGGGCTCAGGCAATCCTCTTGGCTTGGCCTTCCAAAGTGCTAGGATTACAGGCATGAGCCACTGTACCCAGCCTAAGTTTTAATTTTTTTTTTTTAGAGTCAGACAGATTCTTGTTCTGTTGTCCACGCTGGAGTGCAGTGGTATAATCATGGCTCACTGCAGCCTCAAACTCCTGGGATCAAGAGATTCTCCTACCTCAGCCTCCTGACTAGCTAGGACTACAGGCATGCGCCACCATACTCAGCTAACTAAAAAAAAAAGTTTCTGTGTGGAGATGGGGCCTTGCTATGTTATCCAGGCTGGTCCCAAACTCCCAGCCTGAAATAGTCCTCCCACCTCAGCCCCTCAAAGTGCTAGGACAGGTGTAAACCACTATGCTCGACCTCAGAATCTCCTTTTTAAAGGCTGCATAGTATTGCATTGTATGTGTATACCACATTTTCTTTACTATTCATTTGTTGATGAACATTTGGATTGCTTCCAACTCTGTCTGTTGTGACTAGTGCTACAGTGAACATGGATGTGTAAATATCTCTTGGAGATCCTGCTTGGAATTGTTTTGAGTATATATGTAGAAGTGGGATTACTAAATTATATTTTATTTTTTTAGGGCGCCTTCTTACTGTTTTACTTAACGGCCGCATATTTTACATTTTCACAAACAGTGCACAGGGGTTCCAGTTTTTCTACATCCTTGCCAACACTAATTGTTTTCTGTTCTTTTGATGGTGGCCATCCTAACGAGGTGTTATGAGTGATGTTGAGCATCTTTTCCTGTGCATGTTGGCCATTTGTATACCTTCTTTGGAGTATTGTCTATTTAAATCTTTGTTCATTTTTTATTTGGGCTTTTTTTTTTTGGCCATTGAGTTGTGGGATTGCTTATGTATTCTGGATATTAACTCTTTATCATATCTATGATTTGAAAGTATTTTCTCCTTTCATTAGGCTGCTTTTTTGCTCTATTGTTTCCTCTGATATGCAGAAGTTTTTAAGTCTGTTGTAGTCCCATTTGTCTATTTTTTCAGAGCAGAGGTTTGTGGGGTTTTTGGTTTTGTTTTTCAGTTTCCTACAAGGACCACTGCCACAAGGTCTTGTAGTGGAGAGAGATTGGACTCAACTCCCAGAAGTTTTCTTTTTTGAATCAGAGTCTCTGTTGCACACTGCTCACAGCCTCTGCAGCCTGGACCTACTGGGCTCAGGCAATCCTTCCACCTCAGCCTTCCAAGTAGCTGAAACTACAGGCGTAAGCTACCATGCTCAGCTAATTTTTTTTTTTTTTTAGTTGAAGTTTCACTCTATCGCCCAGGCTGGAGTACCATTGCACACTCACAGCCACCCCAGTGTCGACCTGCTGGGCTCCGGCGATCCTTCCACTTCTACCTCAGCCTTCCAAGTAGCCAGAACTACAGGCATGTACTACCATGCACGGCTTTCTTTCTTTTTTAAAAATTTATTGTTTAGACAGGGTATTGCCAAGTTGTCTGAACTGGTCTCGAACCACCGGGCTCAGGCAGTCCACCTGCCTTGGCCTCCCAAAGTACTGGGATTACAGGCTGAACCACTGAGCCCTGTCAGCTAATTTTTTGATTTGTTGTAGAGATGAGGTCTCACCATGTTGCCCAGGCTGGTCTCGAACCTGTGGGCTCAGGCAATCCTCTTGCCTCTGCCTCCTGAAGTGTTGGGATTACAGGAATGAGCAGAAGTTTTTAATTATAAAGCAGTTTATAATTATCAATTATAAATTATCAATTCTTTCCTTCATGGATCATGCCTTTAAAGTAATATCTAAAAAGTTATTGCCAAACTAGAAATCTTCTTAGTTATCTTCTAAACTTTTATAGTTTTGTGTTTTACATTTAGATCTGTGATCCATTTTGAATTAATATTTGTGAAGGGTGAATGTCTCAAAACTTTCTGAAGATATGAACATTACCATCACTTGGAAAGTTCCTTCTCTGTCAAACCTTGTCCTAGGAATTCCTTTCCAACTGTTTTTTTTTTTTTTTCACCATAGATTACCTTTACCTGTTCTAAATCTCAATACAAATAGCATCTCATGCTTAAGGCTTCTTTCACTCAGCATAGTTATTTCAATATGCATTTATATTGCTGTGCACATCTGTAGCTTGTTGCCTTTTACTGTTTAGTACTATCCCATTGTATAAATAAATCACAATGTGTCCATTTTACTATTGCTGGGCACCTGGTCTGTTGATAGTTTTTGGTATTTTTTTTTTTTTTTTTTTTTGAGTCAGTCTCACTTTGTTGCCCAG